TTTTTTGCCAAAATCATCAATTTTAAAACAATAAAAGGCTTGAACTACTTCAGTTGGTGCGCAATGAATCTAAAATATATGAAAGTTTAATGTTTATCAGTACATTACAGAAAATAATGAACTTAATCACAATATGCCAATTTTTTGAGAAGGACCCATAGTACATATGCTCAATGCATGTAGCCAACACAGGGAGCCAAGAGGGGACACAGGAATGCATGATTCATTGCCTCGGTAGCACGCCAAGAAAAAGCCAACTGTGCTACAGCAACACTGACTGTTGTGATCAATAAATGTACTTTCAATTGCAGTCCTTTAGCAGTAAATTTTACAGTTTTAGCCTCTCCCTAAAGGGCTTGTATTGACTGGTGAGACAGAGGATCAGGCTGAAACCATGTGCAGCAGTTTAGATTTGATAGAAATAATGATGCTCTAACACAGGCTAGAAAAGTGTGATGGGATAATAAAGGGAGTACTTTGAGAAGCTAATGAATGAAGAGAATGAAAGGGAAGGAAGAGTAGAGGTCATATGTAGAGGACAGACTGACAGATGGAATCTGTGTTTACAGATGACATTGTCATCTATGGTGAGAACGGAGCAAGTGGAAGAGGTGTAGGTATGCATTTAAGGCATTAGAAATAAGAGGAATGAAAGCCAGCTGTAACAAGCGACTTCAAGACTTGAGGTCAACTGTCCAGGAAAACTGGGTGTGTGGTTAAAAAAGAGAAGAGCGTCAGCATGACAGACAGAGAGAGGTGGAGGAGGATGGCATGCTGTGGTGACCCMTCAAGAGACAACAGAAAAAGAAGACAGTCATAGTTTTTGCTTCTTTTAACCTCTCATGTGTATAAGTTCTCTGGTTAGGTTAAACTGGTGCATACCATCAGAAGTAAGTGTTCCCTGGGGTGGTGGTGGATCAATCCCAAAGGGGTTTGCAGTAGGCGACTCTCGGCGTGATCCTCGGGGAAAGGCCCGGTTCTTTGTCACGATCTCATTGGTGAAACGATTGTCAACCGGTATGTTCTCCGGCACCACTTGAACCAGAGGAGGAACTGGAGGCAGCTCACTACGTCCCAGTGTTCTCAGGCATTGCTCCTCCAGAGCAGAGATGAGAATGGACTGGTTGTTGACCACACCAGCCATTGTGGCAAATCGAACCTCAAGCTCCTTGTACCTCGAAGCCAGACGCATCATTTCTGAGGTTACATTCAGGACACGGTTCTCAAGCTGCACCAGTTCTAAAGAATTGTCTCTCTTTCTGATGATCTCATGCAACAGCTGCATATAGAGCTGGGTTACTCTGGAGTTCATGTTCCTGCTCTCTTTTCGCAGCAGCTTCATCTCATTCACCAAGTTACCGTCGACTTCCACCACCAGCTGCAGTGTCTCAATCTCACGCCTCTGTTTGTTGAGAACCTCCCGCACATCTGCAATGTCCATATGGGTCACTCTGTCTTTGTCTGGCTCAGGGCCCGTGGTGCTTGCACAGATAGGGCCTAAAGACATAAATGATTTATTTAGGAGAATAATAAGTCACTGTAGCTGCGTTTCCATTGACCATGAAAATGTGCAAATTAGAATTTTGAAAATAAATTTGCTCAATAGAAACACGTCAATTTCGAAAAAAATTGCGTTTTTTTGACAAAATGTTTTTGTGCTAGGATGAGGAGGTTTTTTGGCCGTATCGAAATTGGTGTTTTTCGCAAAACTGCAATGGAAACACTTTTTCACATGATCAACAACCGTCTGTTTCTACTGGTGAAAAAGACGATGATGAAGAAGATAACAGGAAGTAGAAGTAGTAGTAATATCACAGAAGTAGAATAAAATAGTAAACTCAGCGACTACAATTTCCCAAAAACACAGCATACGTAGCCGCTCCCAAGTAGGGACTTGTCTCTGGAAAGCCTCGATAAAAGACGCCGACG